ATAACAAGTTTACTGCTTAGAATGATTTCTCTTTTAGAGTATGTGTGTCATAGCATTCCTGTATTTACTCAGATAAGCCAAAACCAAAGTAACTACACACTGCTGTAATGCTTTGATGGAACTGTGAGTTATCATTTAAGCTTTAGTTTACCAAAAACAGTTTTGTCATAACACAATGCTGCTTCTTTTTCTTGTTTCCCTTCTCCTTCATTTTCTTTTGACACACTGAAGCAGCCTGCCAGTTTCTAAAAGTTTTATCAGCTGAGCATGGAGGTGCATATCTATAATCTCAGCATTCAGGAGGCAGAAGCAAGTGATCAAGAGTTTGAGGTCAGTCTGACCTACATAGTGAGATCCCATCTCAAAAAACAAAACAAAACAAAATAAATAGACAAACACATGAAAATTTACATACCTTTGATTTCAGTCAGTAAATTAAGGGGAAAAAAGCATTTGTTATCCTGGAGACCTTATAAATCACACGAAAACACAAACATCGAGGCAAATAAATTGGGAGTTGCAGGATTCCTCATCTCACCTCACATCTAAATTACACTAAGCCTTGTCTATGTCTTTTAGAGCAAAAACCCCATTTGCCATGTTCACTACTGTTCCTCAGTTCACAGTGCAGAGACTAAAATAAAGCATACTTAACAAAGTATCCTCAATGAACAAATAAATCAGACCTAGAAGGAGACTAGGAAGGAGATATCTAACTAAGCAACTTCGTATTAAAAAGTCAGTTTCCAAAACTTAAAAGTATCAATTAAAAAAAAAAACTGTGAAAATAAATTTGCTATCTATAGCAAAAGCAATTAAAGGTTTTAGGGGGGAAAAAAAACTTTTTTTTTTTGTATTAAGAGGTTGCTGAAGAAAAAGCCACATGGCAAAATTAAGAGATCCAATCAGGAGACAGAAATAACACAATAATTTGAAGTTGGAAAGTTTAATATAAAGGAAATATCAGAGGAGACTGGAATAATGAAAGATTTACTAATATGAATAAAAAACAAGACGGCTGTCAGTGGCTCACATCTATAGTCCTAGCTACTCAGGAGGTAGGGATCAGGAGAATCGAGGTTTGAAGCCAGCCCAGGCAAATAGTTTGTGAGACTCTACCTTGAAAAAAAACTTTCACCAAAAAAAAAAAAAAGGAGGGGTGGTGCTAGTGGAGTGGCTCAAGGTATAGGTCCCGAGTTCAGATCCCAGTACCACAAAATAAAAAACTGCAAAGATGTTTTGACAAAACATTTTATATTTGTTTATGACAAATATAAAAGAATCCACTCTCTGGGGGCTGAGATAGAGCTCTCTCTTCTCCCTCAGGACTGAGATAAAGACCTTCTTGGAGGTCACTGCCATGGTCCTTAATTGAATGGCAGAGAAGTAGCAAATGAGATGCCTATAGAATTAACTAGAAATCCTCCCTCTAGGGTACCAGGGAAAACTGTTCACTGGGAGGTGTTTGCCTGGCGGCCTTCCATTATGAAACAAATTGAGGTGAGTGCTAGGGGAAGCTGCTGGCTACTGCCGACCATTACACAGTGCAAGAATGTGGCACAAGTGAAGGTGTTGGTGCTGCATTCAGAGCCTGTGGAAAGAAAACACTCTAAACATGAAGAAAAACTCCTTTCTCCTGCAATGTCCCTCTGCTGCTGTCTATTGACAAAGCTGAACTCTGTGCCAGCTGACAGGAGAAAAACATTTATTAAAGGACCCAGCTCCATTTATTTCCACAGAGTATATAAAAGGGTTCATTGGAGTTAGGAGGCAATATAAAGATAAATGGTACAGTCTACTCCTTGGCTACTCAGCTTCTACATACTCTCCTGAATATGTTTGAACTTTCTTAAATTAAAAACTAGAAGTAGAGGTGCTTCCTCAGCAAGAGGTCTGTGTAGCACAGGTGGCTTCTCTAGCACTCATAATTTATAACTCCCTTTCTAACAACCAATCAAAAGAGCAATATAAGACTATCAATGGGGAAACCCACAACCCACAACCTCTTCCATAGTTCAAGTGTCAAAAGGTCCTCCTATCTAACATGAACCCTTCCTTGACAAAGGTGGGTGTGTGTATATGGGTGTGTGTGTGTGTGTATATATATATATATGTTGCTTTAACTCTGGCAGTACATGACCTTGGTTAAAATCCCAGGCCTATCACTTTTAATTATGGTGTAATAAGAATTTTAGTTTCATTATTTAGTTTTAAGAAAACTACCCAACGGTTCTTTGCTTCTGTAAAATGGGGAACTGTGAAGATCAACTAAATACAGGCTAAATCAAACAACCTGTACAAAATACCTAGAATCTAACCTTGCAAAAACCAGTAAATGTCAGCTGCTATCCCCACACAATAATGAATGCTCCATAAAGGCAGAGAGATTTATCTCTTGTTCCCTGCCTTATTCCTATTACTGTAGAACAGAAGCTAAAAAACATGTTTAATAAACCACTGATAATAGGGTCTTCCATACATGTGAAAAGTCATGAATGGCAACTCTTCAAAGTCTTAAAGATTTACAGTGTAGAAACTGAGAGACCGTTAATGGGGGGAAATCTGAGGCCAACCACCTTTAAGAGTAATAAGCAATACATTTCTTTGGTGTTTTAACTTGCCAGACTCTGTCATGAAACAGCTGTATGGCTGGGGAAATAACTCTACTTGAACCTTGATTTTCCCTTTTTAGAAGAAATAAATAACTATTTAAAAGAACTCTTGAAACATTTTTAAAAATGATGTAAATTACAGCATCTAGAGTAAAGTTTGTACTCTATTGAATCTAAGTATCACCTACATCTAACCTCTGGTTTTTCTAGTTTGAGCAGTATGCAATTATCTTTCACTGTGCATTAAATTTAAGCTTTAACTGAAAAGGCTATTCAGAAGGGATTTTAGGAAAGAGATCTGGCACAGTTTAAGTTTCATCAGCATGGCAAATTCTGCAATTCCCCTAAAACCACCTTTTTGTGAAAAGAACGTAGGAGTATGTCCTGAATCTTCTGTAGGTAAAATAAAGCATCTAATTTTTATGTCCACTTTAACACAGAACCAAAAAGACCAACAAGTATCTATTTAGCGTTAAGCCGAATAGCAAATGGTATGAAAAGTGACTTTGCTGATAAAACAACCATGCTGTTTAACACACTTTCACAATATTGACAGGTAACTTTCTAGAACTTGACTTCGTAGATTCCTTACACTAAAATTTCCTAATTCTGAAATGAACATCCAGTCAAAATTTACCGAAACTACAGGTTACAAGAACATAAATATTAGCAACTTGTGGTGGTACCAATGTGTATTCTTGTTATTTACTAATATGACAAGAAGCTGTTGGCTCTAATTTACTCCTAAGTTACAGAAACAAATAATTTTATCACTGATTTAAAATAGAAAGTGGAGCTATCTACTTTCTCAGCAGTACCAGAGCTCAATTAACAAAATTTTGCTAAACCTCAAAGCAGAGTTAAAACACTAACTCCACTAAAAATAATTCAAGATTATGGATGTTAAAACTAGGATAGCCAGGTGACCACTGGCTCCACACCTGTAATCCTAGCTACTCAGGCAGAGATCAGGAGGATTCAGGATAAAAGCCAGGCAGCCCAAGGGCAAATAGTTCAAGAGACCCTATCTCAAGCAGCAAGTGGCTCAAGTAGAACGCCAGTCTAGGGAGCCTGAGGCCCTGAGATCAAATCTTAGTACCGCCAAAAACAAACAAAAAACCCCACTACATCTTACCTATCCTAAGCACTATCAATTTTTACAAAAATTTAAGTATTAATACTTGAAACCTAGAGATTATGTTTTCAAAGTTTATAGGCCCCAGTCCCTGGTACACCTGGTGAGAACACCTGGACCCAGAGGTTAAGGGGATGGTTCCCACTCTCCCTCTGCAGACACACACAGAAGCCAGAGTCAATGCTGATTAGAACTGGTTTTCTCCACTTTCCCCACATCACCTTCTATTCCATATTGTATCACGTGTTCTAAACTATAAGCTTTGATTTAAAAGAATAGGGATCACAAAGGTCCAGTGCTGCCTCCCTTCCCAATCTCTTTACAAGGGCAGCTCAGCTCTTTCAAGGAGTGGGTCTTACTGACAGCAGGAATGATGAATAGCCCAACTTGAGTGTAAAGAAAATAACTACACTGTATCATCATAACTACAGTCTTTTGGTTAAATTATATCCGCTGGAGTTTTACATACTAATTTTGTAGCAAATTTTAATAAACCTACTATGCATTTCAAGGCAATGTTTGCATTTAACGAACTTAAGCATCCCTATACAAAACACCCTATACTTAGTAATTTGCTAGTGACCTAACGTTATCAATGTTTCATATGGTATGGTTTTTAAAGCTTTCAGTGAAACACTTTTTAACAGAGCCAAAAAGCAAAAAACTGTAATAACCTACAGATAGGATAATGACCTTAAACTTAACCTTAAACACAGTCAGAAATAAGACAAATGGAGAGAAATCCATCACTATTCAGGAGGCACAGGAGTCTCCCAGCCCCTCTTCCCAAAGGCGGGTGGGAGCTGAGGGAAAGCTCGCAAGCCTAAAGTGTACCGGGCAAGTCAAGATCGCTTCCTCGTTTTCCGCATTCAGCAATCCTCCGTAGCTCAGTGGAGCGGCTAGGGCCATAACCTATCACTTTTATCTGAGGAAGAAAGGGATACAAAACAGGCCAGGCCTTGACACATAGGGACATGGGGCAAGAAACCTGTCCCACTCCAGATAGAAATCGGAGCAATGGGTGTATTGCGGAATGGGCTTCTTTAAGACAAAGGGCTGTGGGTCGGGAACCATGCCCACGCTGGCGAGTAGGGACTGGAGGGTCTCGGGCCCGCATCCGAGCAGCCCGCACCCCGCGTGGAACGGCGCCCGGCCACGCTGCCCACACTCCGGAAGTATTGCGAGACCCCCGCCCACTCGGCCGGGACTGACTCTCCCCACAACCCCCGTAGGACCGCGCCCGAGCCCCTCACCCTGGTGATTGAACAGTCTCCATATCCTGGTGAAGAGAATTCCCATTCTCGGGCAGCGGACCCCCTCCAGCCCCCGGGCCGCCTGGCCTCCCCTGGCTCAGGCTGTGGGAGAGAGAGACGCGCTGGGGCCTCCGCCTCTGCTGCTGCCGCTCCCGCACAGGACAACGGCCCGCTTCCTGGGAACCGGAGGGAGGCCAAAGCCCAGGCCGCCCTGCAGCGCGCGAAGCCCCGCCGCTGCCGCCGCGGCACTCGCCTGACTCGCGGACATCGCCGCCGCGTTGTCTGCGACGAGCCTCGCAGGCCACCGTCCTCCCCCAGCTCCTCTCAGGCGGCTGCGGTGGCGGTAACCACGCGGGCGGGGGAGGTGAAGGGGCGGGGCGAGCGGGACGAGAGTGCGCAGGCGCAATGTTAGAGGGGCGGAGCCTGTGGGGCCGGGCGTCCGCGGGGTCCTTGCGTATTTGCATAACCAGTCCATCCCAGGCGGTGGGCTGGGCTTGCAGATTAAGGCTGCGGGTGTTGTCCCTGCCGACTTTTTATTTTCTCTCTGAATATTCTTCCAAGAACCATGATACAAATATGTAACTGTGCCCATCTCCAACCCTGCACACACACCTCTGAAAGTCCCACGTCTTGGCGTGATGATTCAACTTCCAGAAGAGTCTTTGAGGGAAGCTTAAAGTCTTTCTCTGTGGAGCCTGGTGTCCCTTGACACCTAGCTGAAGTCAGTGGTCTTATCTGGGCACTCTGCAGTCTTGTGACTGGCTTGCAGGGTCCTCCCTCTCCAATCTCCCTCCGCTCTCACTTCAGTCTTGCCAAGAGCGAAGGTTTGTTTACAAACCTTCAGTGACTACAAAAACTGAGCAGGAGAGTCTAAAACAGATACCACTTGTTCACCCAATAGCACCCCAAATGTCTTTTCCAGCTATAACTCTCATTTGAAGAGTCACCTTCCTAAAAATACACGGTCAAACGATCTCTGTTCTTCTAGTCTTCTTGCTTGTACACTTTGAACAGCTGCGTCCCATACTGTGCAAGTGGCATGCTATATGCAGCCATGCAGCCACGCCGTCCATGGTGGGACATTTAGTTGAAAACTGCCATGTAAGTGAATCATTAGGTTGCTTGATAATCCGAGCTCTGCTTCCATGTTTGTGTTTGTTTTAGCTGAGCAACTTACTTGACATGTCTAGGCCTCAGTTTTACACATGGAAAAGCAGAGGTCTTTCTTTCTTCTAGGTCACCTGATGACTATGATAATTAATCCTGACTCGTATGAAGGAAAGAAGTGGGAAAAAGAAACTAGGGTTTGTTTACTTCTTTTCTTCCACACACAGAAAATGAAGAAACAGCTCCATTCTTGCTATTCTCAACTTTTTGCTAAAAAGAGAAAAAAAATGAGAATGAAAAAAAATTGGGAGTTATAAAAGGCATTTTGAAGTGCTTTGCCCCTCCCATCTCCAATGGTTGAATGAAATTAAGCAAAATCAAGAAAAAAAATACACCTTGTGCTAAACTATCTTATCTCAATATATAGAAAAGTAATTTCTTTGGCATCTTTTGGCAGTTATGTTAAAAAGCCAAACTTTAGAAGAGACATACATCATTTTAAAAATGTTATAGAAAGCCATTATAGTAATCGACAATAATTTGTGGATTATATGTCTGGATTTACTTAATACTCTGCAGGCACTTTAAAAAAACAATATGTTTGCATAACCAATTTGCATCAACTCTTCAGTATTTCCATTCTTGAACATTGTAGATAATGCTTTGACAGTACTGAGACATTTTGCAAATTCCCACACATCTCTGTCAAGTTATTAAATTTATGTCTGACCCATATTAATTAGTGATATTAACTTGTGATGTTAGGGCTTCATATTTTATAACTATGAGAGAGAGAAAGAGAGAGAGAGAGAGAGAAGAAAAAGTGATGAATTTACCTAATACAATCTTGGCTGACCGTATGATCCATGGGTGAAATAAATCTGGAACTCACATAATTGAGAATTTTTAGTGAGTGATGTGAAACTATTTGTGAAAACAGGCTCCTTTTGAGACCGTTTAAGGACTAATTTATTACTGATTATAGTGATGAGCAGAATGTCAGTGGAGAGACCTCTGCTTCAAGACATGAGAGAATAGGATGGTTTGGATTTACCCTCCACTGTCAACAAACAGAACACTGGACACAACATAGGCAATGACTGTTTTCAGATTGGAAAACACGACATTGGACTATGATCTCTTACAAAAGAGTGATACCATTGCTGGGACTTTCTGCCTTTCTAGAAGCAATTCCCAGCCAACTTCAGAGGGAGTGGAAAGCCAGATAAGAGTAGGGCAATCTCATACGGTAAAAAACACACATCAGATTTCCCAGAGGTAGTGTTGGGGGGGTTGCGGGCAGGGAGAAAGAACACTAGAGTTTGTGAAGTGGAGTAACTGAAAGAAGGAAGACACAGGAAAACTCTAGAAACTGGAACAGCAGACTGTTGAGTCTTTGGATGCATTTCACTCTGTACTTCAGTAGTATGAACCCCCAGGCAGCATGCTAATAACATTTTCTGAAGAGGGAGGGGGAAGTACCAGAGGACTCTAAAACAAATCATTCCCAGAGAATTATTTCAAAGGGCCAGGAATCATTTTAGTTCTGTTCAGCCAGAGAGAACTCACTGATATATAGGACACTTCAGTAGATACCCCAAGGACCTTCAAAGAGGAACTAAGTTAGCTAAGAGTAATCCCTATAGGCCAATACTAAAAGAGTCTGAAAACAAACCTTGAGAGGGCCAAAATAATCTGTAATTGCCTGTCAGAACAAGTCCAACATTCTATAAAGGAATACAAGCTGAAGTCATCAACAATGTAAAATTTACAATGTCATAAATCCAATAAAACTTACTGTACATTCAAGGAAACGGGAAAGTGTAATAGGAAAGCAAAATCACTCTACAGAGAGATCCAGGCACAGGGAAGTTAAGTGACTTTCCTAAGCTCATAGTTATTGCCGGATCTAGGTTTTGAGTCTAGGGAATGGATAAAGTCTACACTTTAACCATTATGCTAACCTGCATGTAATATTAAAAGACAATCAAGATTTTTTTTCCAGTCTATCTTATTAATAGAAATGTGCCTGTAACAAGAGAAGTGACTTCAGGCATATAGCTGTTTGATGCAGTGACAATTGTAATTCTTCCAGCTGGGGGTTTCAGATTTTGAAGTGCTTTTAATTGGGGTGGCCTTACATAATACTCTTGCAGGAACTGAGATACTGTTCATTTAGTCAAGACTTACTGCATTCCAGATATTGTTTTGTAAGTTTCAGACTGCCTAGCTTAAAAGCTTTTAATAGATGTATTTTAAATAAAAATACTTTAAAGAAAAAGTCAGGATGAGCTTTGTTTTCCCCATTTGTAGTTCAGTTTAATAGTCTATGCCCTTGCCTGTTTTCTAGTGTAGTTAGAGATGTGTTAATGTTTGTGAAATAACTTGGCTGTAGTAAGTCCCTGTATAATTCTACTGCAGTGATAATGATTAAGTATACATTTCCCTTGAACTTCTCGTACAGTGCAATGAGAAAAGTCAAATTCCAATCAAGATATAGATAGACATTTGACTCGTTAATAAAATGTCAAGTCATAATCTATATATCATGAATGGAATTCTTACAAGCCCAGAGGTATGGCTTTAGAAACTTCTGGTAACTGCTACAGTATCATTTAGGGTGTCTTGAAAGCAATAAGGTTGATCTAGTGTATGTTTCTAAATTGTTTCAATCCTATTTCACACATTTATCCCAGTATATTCCACTTCCTGTGTATATGTGTGTGTGTGTGTAACTTACAAATTCTTTCATAATATAGTGTTCCTTTTATGATCACTTGTAACGGGTATTCAGGTAATATTCAGTTAAATGAATCCTTTTTTCAAGAATAAATGTTAAGAATTTTTCCTATAAAGGATATAGGAATATTCTTAGTTATTTCTAGTACTTCTTCAACATTTATATTAAATAATATAAAGGAGAGGTATAACGCTGGTTTCAGTGTTTTTGCATTTATTATATAAAAGAAAAAAATTAATGCAGTTGTTTTGTACACATTTAAATTCCATAAAACAAATCCATAGAAATTAGGATACTGTATGCATGCACTCTGCATTTTCTTTGTTAAATGTCTTTGTTCACAAAAATAACACCACATTTTTTTCTTTAGAGCCACTAAAGCAGAGGGAGAACAAAACATGCAGCACTGTACACATTTGCATAGTATATTTTACCCAGCATGCCTTGTAGAATGCTACACATACCTATATAATAAAAATAAAAGGGAGTAGATCATCAAAATAAAGAATTAAAATTTAAAGAAAGAAAAAAAGTTATTTGGCAAAAGTACCCCCCCTCACTTTAATCACTGGAGATACAGCATTAGCCTGGGATAGCAACAGCCCCCAGAGTAACAGGGGAAATCTTTTTACATCATTTGGCCATATTTATTTTTAGTATGTTTTATAATAATAACTTTACATTTTTATTCCCATCCACCCCTTCAAAAACAAAGTGAATGACTTTAACTTATGTTTCAAAATAGTATCCAGCACAGAACAAATTAAAGAATCCCTAACTATATTCTATTCTTGGGACATTCTTACTTGACGCTTGAAAACTACAAGAAATTTCAAACAAGTCCAAAATTCAGAGGAGCCCTTTGAGCTCATTTGCGATGACATTTTAGTTGTTTATTGAAGGAGAAGAAATAAATACAGAAAATATAGTATGAGTCTTATCACAAAATAAAATTTAATAAGTTTTATGTAAGGGGGTAAAATAAAAGAAATTACATCCACAGATTGCAAGGCTATGAAATAAATTGCTGGAAAAGTATCAAGCAGCAAGTTAAAAAAGATGGTAGATGAAATCAACCTGATAAAACATAGAACCAAATCTATATACCTTTAAAAAATAGGACTGCCAAATTTAACAGTGGATTTTGTTGTTCAGTTTGTGCTATAACAAATGTGCTTCTTTCTCCTCAATCTATTTTCATATTATTGGCAAAATATACATATTTTATAATTCTGTTCTGTACAATATATAGTTTTGCTACATTATTTATTTTTCTACTGCTAATGCAGAAGTAATAACAACATAGATTTATTTTGGCAATAAAATGCTTTCATTTTAATAACATCCCAGAAAATATTGTAAGGCATATGAAAAATAGTATGCAACAACATAGCTTAAATGATTGCGCATCTTTTAATACACCCCTTATGCATACAGAATTCACACTGATTTCATTTAACGGTGTGTGAAAGTAGCATGCAGACAGGGCAAGAGAGGCCCCTACATAAATACAGACACAGCCATTTGTGGAGAAAGTTAAGTGTTCAAAACATAACGAAGAATACTTACAAAATATTGAAAAGCTAGAGGCCAGTCACTTTTGGTTCTTAGTTAGGTTTCATTTTAATTCTTTATAATTTTCAAATGAGAAAGTATCAGTGCATTCCCCAAACCATGATAAATTCATAAGTAACATTTTCTACCATCTTTCTGCAAACATTTTACATCCATCAATAGAAATAAAAGAAAGTTTCACATGAAACCAAACTCAGTGCTGTTCACTCTTACTTATATGTTTTTTATGGCAAAGTGGGAGTTACAGCCCTTAATTAAGATTATCTGACGAGATACTTTCTAATCTCATAATACACCTCAATTACATGCAGCATTTGGGATTAAAATATCCACACATAGATAGAACAGTTGCTATCAGAGGACATATTTCAGTGGATAAAGACCTTTTAAATAAAAAAAAAACTTTAAAAAGTTATTTTTGAATGCTGTAGATCTGTCTGCCCATATGAACCAATTTTACAATTCTGACTAACTTAATTGCTTAGCTCAACAAGAAAAAAGTTACATTGATTGGTTCAATGATGACTATCATTAAAAAAAGGAGGACTGCTCTCTGCCACATAGACCTGACTGGAATAAGTAAACTAGTTCACAGTTATAGTATTGACATAATTTAAAGACATAAGAAACCAATGAAACAGATTTTATTACAGAATTTCCTATGAAGTGTTCATTCATATAATCATTCAAGGATGAGTTTTATATAATTAAAAAGAAAAGAACCAACATGCAACATTGTCATAAAAGACAAAGGCAGAAATATAAAAGGAATAAGGGATACATAAACATTTATTTGAAACATTGATATGAGGTTTGTTCCAATTACACTGGAGTCCAGGATGAAGCATATCCTTACCCAGTGAGTGGCTAAGTCATGCTCTTGGTGTCCATAAGAAATTAAGGACCAATTAAATTTGAATTTGCAAACCAGCTGCATTGAAACATCAAGTCTCTGGAATTACTCTTTTTTTTAGACTTAGAGATAGATATTATAACACACTGCACTCAAAGTAATTCTGTTGCAATTTATTTTGTTCCCTATGAAGACTTATTTGTTAAATTACCCATGCCTCATGTTAAATTATGAATCAATTAAAAGAAAACTTCACTAACATGGAAGAAATGAAAGGGTGACAAGGGCATTGGGGAAACGGTTTAAGATCTAAAGGGAAGGCATATTTTTAACACTGTATACATTTAGCTCTGCAGCAAGGTTAGCAGTAATAGTAAGCGTTTCATCACTAGTCCTTGACAAGTACTTTTCCGTGTAAAGAAAGACTGTCTTCTCTAGAGAAGAGGTAGAATAAATATCCATATGTAGGGCAATTTGTATAGTGGCATATGTTGTTTTGTTTTTTAGCAAATATCAAAATAAAATTATATAACTAAGAAAATATACTACCATGCAAATCAAGGTTGCCTAGAAACATTCTTAACTGGCATCTTGGGTCATCACATTTTGTGATATGTTCATTTATAGAGTTTAATTTTCTACATCATCTTTTGCTATAATTTCCTTCTCTCACTCCCTTTCAATGCCCCTACTTTCTATTATGAATTTTAAGGCCCCACACAAAAGACAAGTTCAAGTATGCAGGTATGAAAAGAGGTTAACATTCCAAAAATACATTTTGTAAAGAACAACAATAATAATTCGAGTAAATAACAAATTACTCAAGGGAACAAATAATTATCTCAGAATATGTTTCACATTTAAAAAATTCATTTCATTAAGGACAAAATGCAATGACTTGTATAGTCACAAAATTAAGACTCTCTAATTAGAAAGACCATTAGTCTGAATTGTTAACAATTCCAATCTTTTTTCCAGTAGAACTATATAAAGATAAGAGAGAATCAGTCATTTATAAACATGTCTAAGTGTTGCTTTACATACTGGGGTAAACAAGATAACATTGTTGATTATAATATTGGAGTCATGTTACAGCCTTGAGAATTAATGTCAGGATTGACAAATTGCATTCCTTTCCTTTGCAAGACTACATGTCCACACAATCACGAGTCCACATTATTACATGTCTTCTGACTGAAATTATAGAATTCTAATATGTGGTGTATACTCAAGTAACAGATTTAAAATATTATATGACTCATTTCTCCTGCTTATAATTATTTGCTTTTTTTTTTAAAGGAACTGAATTTAAAATAAAATATTTCTGGAATATGTATTTCCAAAGGTGCTTGGTGTGCTTGGCAAAAATAAAACTTTTTATTTAGAATATATCTGGATTTCAGTATCATTTACAAAATAAACCCTAACTTTAAAAAAGGAAGATGCATATCTCTTATTCTTTTGAAGAAGATAAACTTATTACAGAAGGAAAGCGAAAAATATCCCAAGTTAAAGTGAAATTTTCAATAAATCCATCCAGAAAATGTACATTATACCCTTTCCAAGATTGTTAGCTTCTGAATAAGAATGCAAAGCAAAACAGGCATGGACATTTGGTGGAAAATGATGGACTGGTTTTATGCACAGATTGAATGGGCCTCCCTCATTATCAGCATGATATGGAAGAATAGAAACAAGACTTGAGAGGCTTTAAAAATAAGTGATTTTTTTTTAACTTGAAAGAAATGGAAATCTCACTGTCTAGGAAATATATGTAAATGCTGTTACAGCTACCTGCCATAAAATGTAAATATCTTAAAGTAGTTAAATGACCAAATTGCTAATGCTACTACAGAAAAAGCTGAACAGGTGTCTAGTCTAAATTTATACATCTCGGTGCACTCTTTGCAATTAAATACTTTAATGCACACAAACAAGAAACCAGTAAAGCATATAGAAAAATGTTTTGGCTAATGTTTTCTTTCTCATGCAAATATGTGCTGTACATGTAATAAATATAGTTTTGTTTGCTGGAAATGTTCCTGTGTTCTAACAAAATATTTAGAAATGGCAGGTTATATGTTGGTTAAAGAGCCTAATGGATACAGCTCTGTTAAATGTCTTAACTGAAAGTTTTTCAAGCTTCACTAGATGACAAAAGAATTCACAAGCCAGTATCACAAGTTAACTTTTAAATTTTGCTAAGCCCATGTTTCATTGTGTCCAATGTCGGAGATGACTTACAGAATTACAGGCATCCTCATTATCAGCTAAACAGATTCATAACGGGATACACACAGTGAACAAGAGGGGAGGGCACAGAGTGAGGCTGTACTGAAGTTTAAGGTATGCATAACTAATCAAGAATATGAAACTTACTCTCTTGATCAGGAAAATTACTGAACCGGCACATGCTTTGAGAGAATGAATATTGAAAAACTTGGGGAAAAATATGATAACATAAAATTAATAATTCTTATTTTCAAAAATAGGCTCCATGTGTGACGTGTGCCGGCAGAAAAGGACTTTTATGCATAGGTTCTACTGGGGTTTTGGAAAATGCATGTATTATGGAATTTTAGAAACAAGAATCGTAAGGACATTTGTGTCTTGTATAAAAGGATCAATTTCAACAATCTCTTGGATCATCGTGAATCTAGGTCTTCCTTGGTAATCTAAGACACAGGTAACCAATTCCATAATTATAGTCACTGGAAAAACTAAATAATTAAAAAATGATGATGTATGTTCACCAGAAATAAGGCAGCTCCATCTCCAATATATTTTTAATTTTCTGCATCAAAATGCTACAATTTCAGTGAACAAATATATTCTGAATCTATACTCTATTTTTTACTGCAAGATTTTAAATTCATCATTTGTTTTTAACTTTTTCTAATTAGTCTTGCTACAAAAATAACTTTTCATATCTAATTTGAATGTGACCATGGAAAACAAAAATCGTTAGCATGTTTTAAAAAGTTGGTGAAGGGCTAGACGCTCAGATATTCACGACAGACACTGAATGAAGCAATGGAAAGATACTAAATTGTGCTGGCAGGAAACATTGACCAGTGTTTGTGTTAAGCAGGATGGATGGCCTCCCATCTGGAGATGTTTAGCTTTGCACTCAGGAGGATCTCTACATCCTCACTATCTGATTTCAGATCCCCAGATGAATGTAGATGTGCTTAGATTGATTAAAGAAGAAACAACACCTTGCTTCTCATTTCACATAACCAGCTGTGGTTGAGCTTCTCTGTACTATTCTCTCACATTGCTGCAGATTTTTTGAGGATGTTTTTTTCTTTTTCTTTTTTTTTTGCCAACAATTTCAAACAAGCTAACAATACCGACTGCATAGAAAGCAAAACACTTTAAATATAACAGCTACACCAGAAAAGAAATAAAAATACTAAAATCTGAGGAGACTAGAATTTCTGCATTAAGATTTCTGAGATTTTTTTTTTTTTTTGGCACTATCAATACATTTGGTAAGTTTGAAAAGCCATTCTGGCAAAATTAACATATATTAAAATGTTTACACATTCCAACTTTAAGTGTAAATTTAGCTTCCAGCAAATAAACACCATAGCTGTTTTTGGCTTCTATTGGTATTTTGATCTTCTCATTATTTAGGTTTTTTTTTTTTTTTCCAAATTTTCAATTGATTGCAACATGCTTAAGTAGACTTCCTAGTCAATTCACCCAAATTCCAACAGGAATTGGTTTATAAATTGGTTCCAACTGGAACTGGTCATTTGGAATTTCCAGCATGGGAAATTATTTTATATGTGTCTTGATAAGTACCCTAAATTACAAATTGATGTGTCTAAATCTATGAAGAAAACAAAAGGTACTGTATCATGTAAATGTTGCACTTAAAAATATCTATATGACTGGGCATGTAGTATTTATCTAGATCCCAGGGCATAATGTACTTTTTTTGTGTTTGCCCATACTTAGCATCAAATGACAGCAGCCCATAAGCACAGTAAGTACTGTGCTGTGCTTGCCACGTTAAGATGACTGGTTTATCCTAGCAGTGCTATGGCAAATTGTCAACAGATGAATATTTTTTGTTGTTGTTTTGCCAGCCTCAAAGCCTATGTCGGGAGTCATGGCTGTATCCCCCAGGCGAGCCTCGGTTCCTATGGGGTTTGTAAGTGTCCTGGTATGAGTCAGGGTAATCTTCTTCCACAAGAGGGTAATGATCTCGGCTATGCTGAGAACTGGAAGACAAGCGGTTCCTACTCTTCCGAGCCCTCTCATTGTGATAATTTTCATCGGAGGTCATTAGACTTCGTCTTTCAATTGGAGAGTTCTCTGTGGAGTGGTTGCTGTGCCTCATTCGCTGACTCTAAAGATATCAGATAGTTCATTGATTAAATAATATCAGCTTCATTTATCCAAACATGCAAATGGATGTATAGTAACAGGTCTCGGAACAATGAGATACTAAATATTTGACTTAATAAAGCATTCTGATGCACAAATGGTCTGCCCAAAATATCTGAGCTTATTTATTTGGGACACAACACAGAGATGCCACAGTGTTGCTAGTTTATGAATTTAATTACATATGCTGCATGATGATGCGTCCTATTAAAATATGGAATTGAAAGGTGACTGTTAAACGGAACTTGATGTATTTAGGAAGATTAAATAATTTCACTTCAATTATAAAAATGAGGATTACTACTGGAAAATAAAGTTCGGGATAACTCCTATTATTTTATTCAACTCACGAATTGATAAAATATTTCTCCTCTTAGAGTCACCCACTTCATCTTGATCTAGCTGAATAGTCTTTAAACCTTCTAAAGTATTTTAACAAAATTATTATTTGTAGCTGTCCATAACATAACGTGTTTGTTGTTGCATCTCACATAAATGTTAGGCTGGCAGCAATATTGTTTCTAAAGGAGTATACAGTATTACGAAGCCAGCTCACTGATGCTTTTCTAAATCTTGTTTCCTTAACTTAAATGGCCTGTGAAAATAATCTTCAGATACAAACTAAATTCTTCCAATATTATAGTTGAAATTAATATTAAGACACTTATTCAATGGCTGAGAAAATGTTACTGGGCATTTTTTTCTCCCTATTAGAAAGACACAACCATGGGCCCAGGTAAATCTTCTACAAATTATACCATGCCATTAACTTCAGCCAGCTACCTAACAATTAAGTGCCTATAGTTACTGGGAGAAACAGGCCACAAGATAAAGGGTACTATGTTAACTCATTAATGAAACTGGAAGAACTACTGTAGGTAGATATCTTATGGGTGCTGTATCAAGATGTTGCACTCATAAACAAAATACAATATCATATTTATTCCTATATCACAGTAGCTTACTGCTTCATGTGTGGATTCAGAGCCAACCTAGATTAGTCAATGGAAATGCTGTACTTAGTTCAGTCCACAAGAAGGGAAACAAGGCAAGAAACAGTCCTAGCACATGCAATATGTACTACACATTACAATAGCACATTTCCAGGCACAAAAGAAATTCATTTATATTGATACAACTTTGCAGCAAAGAAATACAGTTATAATAGTATTACAGAGTGCCATTTATCTCTGAGTTAACTCTACAAGATCTTTAATTATAACTATCATTGTAACCCATTAAGACAAACTAGTTATGCAAGAGTGCTCAACTGACTACATGCTCCTTAGTTAGCTGGGGGTTTGGATACATTCCAGCAGCTGCTTGATAAATGGTAAATAGTAATTAACGAAGAAAGGCAAGAATCATTTTGTATTTTAATGCCTCTGGGTCCTTACATTAGTTTTCAGAAAAGCACCAGAGCAGTAGAAGAGAGAACTTCCTGACCCATGCTTGTCTCATTTCCCTAAATGACACTTGGCATAGCAAGTGACCTAAGTGGGCCCTTCATATACCTAAGAAAACTCAGGGATCTGTCACCATTTCCAAAAGGAGCAGCTCTACTCATTTTGTCTTGTGCAAGATGGAGGGCAGGTCCAGCAGTCTATGGGGCAAGAGTAGTTAAGGACAGCCAAAAGCCCTATCTGTCACAAAATATCTTACTTAGGCACAGTGTCTGATATTTTCAGTCATATAATTCTGAAGAAGTGTCATGTAGAAGTCATGGAAAGTTGCGCTGAGGAGGCATTAACTCTACCAGGGACTCATTTATCTAAGTAAAGTTCATTATAGGGTCACTTTCTGGATGGCTTTCTCTAGGATAGATCATGGATAGATAGCATTCAGATTTGTTTTAATGTACTCCTATAGTTCCTCTTCAGATTAAGAATAACCCTAGTCTCCAACTTAATCAAGTTCTCTACAGAATTCAAAAAAGTAAAGGATGGTTGTAAAAGTTATCAGTGAAAAAATGACAATACCTGTAACCCAGAAATTGCTGTGGGATATGGTGAGAGTGCTGTGGAGCCCAAATTCCTCCCCAGCAGTGGGGTCATGGGGGTGCTACTGGTTGTGTGGGTGGCACGCCAGTATGCCTCAAGGTACTCTCCCAGGTGTTCACAAGCATCCTCAAGCTGATTCTCATCCAGTATTACATCAAACATTTCCTGGAGATGACAGGAAAGAAAATCCATTTTATTTCCACTTTAGGATTTAGGCAATGAAACTAAAAATTCCACTTTTAAGGCAGATAATAGCATTCCTCACATCTTGTAGTTAATATCAAATTTGAGGAGCTAAATTGGCAGTTTCTAAAGTAAAAGTCAAGTGAAGGGTTGCAGTTATTCATGTGCAAATGTAGATATTTACATAAAAATAATAGTGCTCATTAACTTTTTCATTATGTAGAAAGAAAAGGGTGAGGCTAACTAGGAAAGCCTTGTAGATAAAAATATAGTGAAAATATATGTGTTCACATTTTTGCCCATTTATTCTGATACAGCTAAATTTTACTCACTTCAGGATACTAAAGAAACAAGATAATTGCACTGAAAGAGAGTTTAAAAATGTTTGGGGCAGGACTGGGGCTCCAGTGGTAGAGCACTAGCTTAGCAAGCTCAAAGCCTTGAGTTCAATAACCAGTACCACCACCAGAAAAAAAAAAAAAGCTTAGTCAATGACATATCGTTGGAATAAACATTTCATCTGCCAATGTAACTATGTTGAAGGGAATAACATTGCTTACATCATTTGGATAATTTTCAGAATGCTTGTGAAAGTGGATTTATCTATCTCATGATAAAACAGCAAGGAAAGAAAGTTTAGGATTAATACTAGAAAACCACAGTACAAGTAATTGCTGCCACCATAAGACTGTTTTGTGAAATAGTTAAAAAAAGAACAGGAGTGTTTAACTCGGGGAAAGGGTCACATAAGAAGCATCCAGTGTCCATGGTTCTGTCAGTAAGGACTTTGCACAACATCTATCCTGTAATTAGGAAACTGTTTTTCAGTCCCAGAGGGACAGTGTGGCTGGGAACACAAGAATGATATACGTAGACTCCTTGGAGGGATGAATACCTTGGCACCTCACAAAGAGAAAAACCAGTCCACAGGTCTTAAAAGCAGGTGAGTGGTGGTGGATCTAATTTTCAGTAGTTGGATTAAAATACTTTCCCTCTTCCACCACCTCCACCACCATCCACCTGCTTTTATGAGCTCATTTTACCAAAATAAGAACTTCCCAGTAATGAATCAAATCCATGACTAGTGCCATCAGCACTGGCATTTCTGGATGGAGTGAGGATTAGTGGCAACTGGAAGACAGGGAATCAGTGGTGTCTTATTCTCTTTGTTGCTTAGAACAAGGGCTCCTTGAAAGAGAAGTCACCATGGAAACTCTCTCCCCTCAAATATTTACTGTTTATTTATTTTTGGTGCTGCAGATTGAACCCGGGAGCTCAGGCATGCTAAGCACATGCTCTCCCACTGAGCTTCACCCCCAACCTACAATTTAAATGTTCCAGTACATCAATCTTTACTGAAACATTTGACCCTATACTGGAATGTCTAAAGGTCCTTGGAGCAGCAGTAACAAAATCAAAAGTGACTTCAGTGCAAGTGAGTTGTGTTTGAGACTTAGTCTGTTGAACTTATGTAGAAATATGCCCCTCTAAGAACATTTATCAATAGAATTTCTGAGGGATTTTTGCATCATTCATTCATTCATAGAATATTTATTCAGTACCTATTTCATGCCAGGTACTGAGGGTATATAGTGACAAAGAAAACAGACGTCATCATATGTTCCAGAAGCATATGTTCTGATTGGAGAGATGAATATTAAAATCCACAGTAATCCACACCACACTGGAACTTTAACTCAGAGCAATACAGACACTGAACCAATTATTGTTTGGAGTTAAAGCTTAAAGTTCTGGATTTAGCAAGCCTAGAGAGACTTGCGAAAACTGAATTTATAAGGATGGGGAAATTATGAGTAAGTCAACAATTCAATCTGCAGAGGAAAGAAAATGAAAGAAAGAGAAGCAAAGCCACAATGGAAGAAAGAGACCGACCATATGGCCCATGGGATGGGGAAACAGATAGCTCCTAGAGCTTTGGTTAACTATGTCTTTACCAGAAATCTCCTTTTCCACTAAAGTAACCCAAGGGAGTTTCTTGTCCCTTGCCAACAAAAGTCTTCTCTTGCCAGGTGCTGGTGGTTCCCGCCTATAATCCTAGCTACTCAGGAGGCAGATATCAGGAGGATCACAGTTCTCCAGCCCAGAGAAATAGTTCATGGGACTCTATCTCAGAACAATCTATCATAAAAAAGGGATGGTGGAGTGGCTCAAGGTGTAGGCTCTGAGTTCAAGCCCCAGTACCAAAAAAAAAAAAAAAAGTGTCCCCTTCCATGAATTTAAACTTTCAATAGTCACAAATACAGAACCTGAGAACAGTCCACAGTGCTCTGACATAGACAGGGTTATTGCTGTGCTGACTTGAGGGTAACAAGAACAACTACATCTTCCAAAGCAGCCCGACATTCATGACTCAGGAAGAGGAAAGAGGAAACTGAGTGGCACTGACCCTCTAGCTCCTGCAGGCTCATGTTTCACAAGTTCTAGACTGCCCATGATTTAGAGCTGCTGTTTGTGTCACTTTGTTTATGTTCACTGTAAGGTTTTATTACATAGGTCTCATTATATAGTGTGGGTTTGGCTAGTCCCAACAAGTCATTTTCTTGCTTTCACAAGGTGCCACATTAAAGAATCCTTCAGGGATCACTGGACAGGAAGGGTTCTGACCATAACAGCTAAGACTACAGAGTCCAAGGAAGGCCAAGAACATATCAGTGAAGATGAAACTATTCCAGGAATGGGGATGGAGAGGATAAAGGAGAATGATGGAGGGGTGAATTCAACTATGATGTATTTGATATATTGTAAGAACATTTGTAAATGCCACAATGTACCCTCAGCACAACAACAACAATAATAATAATAATAAAAAGACAGTCTCTTTAATAAATGACACTGGCAAAATTGAATATGCAGAAAAGTGAAATTAGTTCCCTTTCACCATATGCAAAAATAAACTAAAAATGATCAAATCTTAAACCTGAAATTATGAAACTGATACAAGAAAACATAGGGTAAACATTTTAAAACATCAGTATAGGCAATGAATTTTTAGATACGCTCTCAAATGCACAGGCAACAAAAGTGAAAATAGACAAATAGTATAACATCAAACACAGATGTTTCTGTACAGTAAAGTCAGTAATCAACAGGATTAATAGAAAGTTACAGAATGGGAGAAAATTTTTTGTAAATGGTACATTTACAAATGAGGGGACAGAAGGGAAGGGGAAGGGGAGAGGAAGAAGAAGGGGAGAGAAGGAGAGGGAAGGGAAGCAGAAGGGAAAGGAAGGAGAAGGAAGGAAGAGGGAAGGGAAAGGAAGGACAAGAGGAAAGGAAAAAGGAGAAAGGAAAGGAAAGAAAGAAATAAAAGAAAAGGAAAAAGGAAAGGAAAGGAAAGAAGTGGGCTAAAAAAACTAAACAGGTACTTCTTAAAAGACATACAAATAGCCAAAAAAAAGAAAAAAATGCTCAATTTCACTAATCATCAGAGAAATACAAATAAAAATCACAATAAGACATCATTTCGCCCCAGTTAGTATGGTTATTATCAAAAAGACAAGGAATAAATGCTGGTGAGGATGGGAACTCTTGTACACTATAGGTTGGAATGTAAATCAGTATAGCCATTATGGAAAACAGTATGAAGATTATTAAAAAAAACTCTAAAAATAGAACCACCATATGATCCAGCAATTCCTCTTCTGGATATATACCCAAAGGAGATGAAATCTTTATACCAAAAAGATACTTGTATTCCCATGTTTTTTGTAGCACTATTCACAATAGCCAAAATACAGAACAAACCTGGATGCCCTTCAGCAGATAAGTAGATGAAGAAAATATGGTATATTTACAAAATGGAATACAACTTAGTCATAACAAGAATGAACTCTGTCATTGGCAGCAACATGGATGGAGTCAGAGAACACTATTTGAGGGAAACAAACCAGACCCAGAAAGGCAAATACCACATGTTGTAAGTACAGAACGGAATAGTGGACACTAGAGATGGAGAAGGGTAAGGGGGATTGGACAGAGAGACATTAGGAGGGACTTTTAGAAACAGAAAGGGTGGGAAAGAGGGGGAAGAGGGGCCAGGTTCTGGGCAGCAGAAGGGTGCATGGACATGCTCAATGCAAGACAAACGTATGTATGGAAATACTTCAGCAAACCCTAAGAAGTTATACAATTAATATATGCTAATGAAAACAAAAATAAAAACAGCAAAGAAAACAGACAAAAAGGAAAGATCAAAGCAAAGATCAAATGCTAATGGAGTGAGGTTTATATCTATTTGCTGTTCTGTGTGTTACATTGTCACTATTATAGCCACAATTCAACACATATTTAATTAAAAGGAATTTTATTTGTTTATTTATTTATTTATTTGTTGCTGTTGTACTGGGGGTACATTATGACATTTACAAAAGTTCTTACAATGGATCATAGTTGAACTCACCTCCTCCATCATTATTCTTTATCCCCTCTCCTCCCATTCCTGGAATAGTTTAACAGGTCTCCTTTTTCTATTTTCATACACAAGTACATATTTCCACCATACTCAGTTTCCTACACCCTTTTCTTATATCCTCCCCCCTCCCACCTGTGCCAATCCCCAGACAGGACCTGCTTTACCTTCCTATTCTCTGTTTTCGAAAAAAGACACTTTTATTTAGATAAGATAGCTATAGAGGGAATATCCTTGTGACATTATCATGTACATATGTATTGTAACCTGAATTGGTTCATCTGGTCTAGTTTTCTCCTTTCTACTTTGGTCCCCTTCTTATCATGATTTCAACAGGTTTAAAAAGTCTATATTCATTCTTGTATAGAAAGCACATAAACCATATTAATTAGAAAGAATTTTAATAAATTCTCTTTGCCAATGGATACAATTTGTATACATCAGCCATGGCTATTTGCCTAAGTCAAATATTTCTTGAAGACTATGCTTTTACACTGCTAAAAGACAGCTACATGGTAAAAGATGATTTGAAATTGTGTTTAGGCTTTCAAAG